TGCCTTCACCATTAAATTTAACAAAATCTGGAATTTTATATCCTGGAGGGCACTGGATGGCATCAAAATACTCGGGGTACGGCTTTTGGTAAATCCGATTCCAAGGTAACTCAACTCCAAAATTCTCTCGAAGCATCTTAGCCATCTCCTCTCTAAGATTAGCTAGACCATCATCCATAGTGGACGATGAAGCTTGTGGCAGTGGCATAGGAGGAGTAGGGTTACTAGCTGTAGGTAGGAATTGTGACATGTATGTTGACCCATAATTTGGTAGTGGTCGAGTGGTTGTAGCTGTAGGTAGAGTTTGGTTCGGCGTTGCCACCGAACTTGGCATGCTCATAATAGGGTTGATGGGTGCAGTCACAATCTGAGTTTTTTGGGTAGGATAATAAGCCATCGGCATGGGAGGCGCCGATGCAATAGGTAAAGCCATATTAGGGTTTTGCACACTAGCAGCTACACCATCCTTACCACTAGACGCTTGAGATATATTCTTCTGAGCATTAGTAGTTTCTATGAAAGTTTGATAGACTAGATTATTACCATCAGCAATACGACTTTCAATCTCAGCCCACTGCTCAGGAGAAAAGGCAATACTTACAGAGGGTTTAACCTGTTCAGTCTCAAGAGGAGGGAACTTGATTTCTTCAATCGGAGTGATGTTGCCTTGGCGATCTTTCTTGAATTTTGCAAGGAACTCCTGCAGGTCTTTCTCCTCGCGCGCCTTGTTGTACTCCTCATAGACTTGGCGATGATCGGCCTATATCTCATCAAGACTGGGCTTAATGATGTTATCGGCGTCTACCTCAGATGGCTTGGGAAGATCGGACATGGTGGATGATGATGATTGATCTTCGGTCCCCAGCGGAGTCACCAAAAAGTGTGTTGACACACGAACACGTCATGTGTACCCTCGATGCCGGGTGTGATGCACCGCAGCTCACGTCGAAGGAGAACCGACCGACAGCGCGATATGCAAGACAGTCGACGGGCGCTTTTGCAGACCCGAAAACCCCACACCCCCGGGAGGGACCCCGTCAGGGAGTGCGGCGGCTATGGGCTACCCTAGGTCGATTAGCTCGCCCCTAGAGCCTCGGTATTCGCAGCTCTCAAACACGAAGTATAGCGAAGAACGAGAGAGAAAAACGGTGGAGAGATAAAACGTAGATGAAAAGTAGTATATTGATTTGTTCGATTGTGTGTTGTTCAATTGGCCATCACCCCAACATATATAAGAGGCGGCTGAACTTCCCGTACAAGCAAAGGATTCATCTAGGCTTTCCTTACAAAAAATTACATCAATTCACGTCCTAGAGTCCTAGTTCTATTCCAACTCAGATTCAGTCTGAATTTGGCCCAACTTCTGTCTTCCTCCTTGTGCGGGCCGCCGAGCTTGCATATGATCTCCGATCAAGACGGCCCAAATATGAAACTTGTGCGCCTCGACGAGACGAACAATTCTTATGTTGAACACTTTTCCAAATAAGACCATCTTGAATATTCTACGAAGCCATCTTTAATATCCAGTCGGACCGGGTCATGTAACGGATTGGATTGTCCAAGTCTCGTAGTGAACTTACAGGCCGTATACTATCTCATATGATAATGACTCCAAACCAAAGTTCACCGTTTTGACGATGCGCCCAACTTTCGTGTTGATCACTTTTCCATCCGAGGTCATCTGGATTACCTTTCAAGCACATCTTCAGTTTCACTCGGATCCGAGCTCATCCACTCGGATATTAGAGTTTTTCGTCCGACTGGACCTTTTCACTCGGATGTTAGAGTCTTTCACTCGGATGACTATAATTTCACTCGGAAGATAATCTTTCACTTGGATGACTATATTCCGCTCGGAAGGCAATATCTTACTCGAACGTCAAGTTTTCATTCCGACGGTAATCTTTTCACTCTGCATAACTTCACTCAGATGATAATTTCACTCGGATTACTATATTTTCACTCGGAATCCAATCATTTACTCGATCGATAAGTTTTCACTCGACCTTTTACTCGATCGGTAGGTTTTCACTCGGATGGCAAACTTTTCACTCGGATTTTCCGACTGAAAACACATCCTGGTCTTGATTTGACTCTCCAGGTTGCATATGACCTCTGATTGAGACAAATTTTGTATGAAAAACAACCGGCTCAACGAGACGAAACTTTTTCGTGTTGAAGGTTTTTCAATTCAAGGCCGTCTTGATGACCGAATTACTCGCGCAATCTATTAGACAAGTGTGTGGCACCTCGCGCCATATTTTCGTTAAGGTTCGGTCTGCAGTGTATTGCCTCTAACTTTTGCATATGAACTCGGATTGAGATGATTTATATATTAAAATCGATTGCCTCGACGAGACTAAGACAATTCCTTAAGAGTGATCCTTCATCCGAGGTCATCTTGAAGATGTGATTGGCCAAAAACCACTCGGAACATTGAATTATGCCACTCGGAGTATAGTTTCGGTCCGTAAGATAAGGTCGAATGAATATAACCGAAACATCAAAGTTGTTCCACTCGGCGACGTGAATCTTTTCATGCCGAAAACCCGTTCACTCGAGACCATCTTCATTGCAATCTGTATCTTGCCAAAATCAGGTGTCAACACCCTTTTCTTACGAGATGGAGTCGATCGATCGAGGGATCCGTGGGGGTGAATACTGAAAGTGATGCTCAACAAGTTAGTATATTATGAGAATTGGCGGATTATGATAGAATGGTAATAGCCGGCATTTTGCAGGAGATTCAGGAGCTCGATGCAAATTTTCAGAGCTTCCAAACAAGATTTATTAGTAGGGATGTGAACAAATGGCTCACATGTGTGTTAAACATGCAAGTGAATCTGGGAAGAGGTGTTGAAATATGGGCCCATGTAGGTGTGATGACAGGGGTGATGGGAAGTTTAGTCACAGTCCGCTAGTGAAGAACGAGTTGGACCTCTTTATAAGGGATTCTCTTTCACATCCTATCGAAGCTTGAGAAGAGAAGAGGCCCTCGCGCACTCCTCCTTCGTTGCCGCCTCGCCACGCCACGGGTTTGAGTCGAGCTAAGCTCACACCTATGCGCTTATTTTTGCCGGTCAGAAACGGAGAGTCTTTGACAGGCGGACCACGATCTGAGATGTCATATCATGGGATGTTACCGACTTGGGCGTGGGTTCGGCTCACGTCTCTCCACCCGAATGCACATATATATATGTGAGGTGTTGGCCAACCCTAGCCACCATGAACAAATCGCATCTGCTCCATGCACACCACCCCTGTCGTTCCTTTTGTCGTTGCTGCCATCGGCAACTTCATCCCATTCACCGCATACATGGTCGAGGGGAGAGCAGGCCTTCAAAACCCGCCTCTTCAGATCCTGTACGGGAGAGGGGCGATTAGGTTTTTGGAGAGCGACTACGCGACTGCTCGTCTCCGATCGATTACTTCCTCTATGTTGCGTCGTCTTCGTCATCACCATGTCCAGCGACACCTAGGGATGAAAATGGAGTGGAAACTTTCCGTTTTTCCGGAGATATGAAAACGAAAATGGAAATTTGCAAAATGGAAGTGGAAATGGAATTTTTTACGCGGAAACGGAAACAAAAACGCAGCAGTGTTTTCCGGTGGAACTTGCATGGAAACGGAACTTTCCGTTTCCGTGAATATGGAATTTCTGTTTTTACAATAGACCTATAGCTACGACCACTAAAGAGAACACAATGACACAATTAGTAGAATGGATCTAAGACCCAACTGCTACTACAACACATGTACGCAGCTTGATCATATACGCAATTGTCTGGTACTACTACAACACTATGCTAAGTTGCTATTATTTTGTAGTGGTGTGAACAACTCATTAAATTTGTTTTTTTGTGTGTGTATTTCTCTATGATTCAAGGGGTTTCTGAAGTTCCGATCGATGCCTATTTTTGTTTCCATATCTGCTTTGTATTTGCTCCGTGTCCGTTTTCGGTAGTATCTGTTTCCGTATTCATTTCTGGGGTTTCTGTATTCGTTTTTGCTTCTGCAAAAAAATGTGAAAACATTTATGATAGCACTCAGTTTCGTCCGTTTTCGCTCCGTTTTCATCCCTAGCGACACCGAACGTGTCGCTGCCGAGAAGGCCGCCGCTGACCAGAAGGCGGTCGAGGAGGCCACCGCCGGCGCTGCTGCTACGGCCAACTGGACGGTATAACATGTTTATCCCGCTCTTGTTTTTTTTGTCTTAGCCATACTAGCTATTTGTATAGATATTTCTACTATATGTGTAGTACGTGCTTATTTAGATCGCAATCAGTATATCATTAATTTTGTCAATGCCATGTTCATGATTATTTTCTGAATTAAAATAATTGAAAAATTGCCTATTTACTCAGCACGAGGTGTCTTTGGGTAAACTGTATTCCATCTTTTCTTGCTGATGTTCTGCGGCATGATTGTAATTCTGGCTAAGCATCAATTAATAAGCCCGTTGATTCGAAAAAAAGGAGTGAGGTTCGGCATCAGCTAATATATCGGACCAGGCTATGATCTGATTTGTGTTTTTGTAGGTTGAAGCCCTGATCATATTGATCCCCGGTTATCAATTCATCATCATCTGAATTCTCGACAACCTTTCTGCCAGGACACCAAATTGACGCAGTTACCGCTAACTGCATGCCGACCGATGCCACATGCTCAATCCAGTAATAAGCAAACAAATACATGAACTGGACGGAACATGCATTCGGAATATAAGCACACTTGAAGCTATCACGGATGCATATGCATACGATCGAGTCCAAATGAAAAGAGGCAATCAACCCTGACGCGCCAGCTCGGAAGCACATGCACGGCCCCATCTCATCTCACACCGCTTTCCCATTGGAGGCGAGCAATCAGATTCACAATCTCCCTCTATAAATACCACTCGCCATGCACACACCCACTCACACACAGAGCAAGCGCACATCACAAGCACAAGCAGCTCGATCGCACTAGCTTTGCTGCACGACCTGCTAGCTCCGTCGCAAATGGCCATGGCACCCAGAGCGCTGCTCCTCCTGGCCGTCGGGCTCATGGTCGTGGCCTCGGCGAGCGCCCACGGCGGCTACGGGTCGTGCCCCAAGGACGGGCTGAAGGCGAAGGCGTGCGTGAGCGTGCTGGGCCTGCTCAGGGTCAATGTCAACCAGCCGCGCGACGAGCACTGCTGCTCGCTCCTCGACGGGCTCGTCGGTCTGGACGCGGCGCTCTGCCTCTGCACGAATCTCCATGTCAACTTGCTCGACCACAACCTCGACCTCCCCGTCGACCTACGCCTCATTCTCAACAACTGCGGCAAGGTCTGCCCCACCGATTTTCAGTGCCCACACCACTAGATCGAGTACCTTGATGTTGTCATGCCTGGATTTTTGAGCCCTGTTTGTTTATTTGTTGGTACAATGTTGTATTCTTTTGTTTCCCATGATTATTTTGGTTGAATGTTCATCGAATAAAATCAAAAGGTTATTCGTTTCGTGAAGTCGGGCTTTTGGCACTTTGATATCGCCATTGTTAATTACCTGACCAATACTCATGCGCGCGTCAACTAAATGAACGGCCCAACCTGAAAAGTGAAACGGAATTACTGTACACACAACAGTTGCTGGCCGAACTCTGGATGATTGAAGAATCGAATGGTGCTGTTCACCTTTGCTCTACGCATCGATGGCTTGATGTGCTGCATCATCTGAAGATCATTCAGAACCCGTCGGCTGTGTAGCAGTGCTCAAAGTTAAAACATTATGGACCAGCAAAAGGATATTATATTCGTATCTGGATAATACTCTAATGTTTCTAAGCAACATGAGATCTTGGACTGTTCTACAAGGGTATACGGTGGGATATATAAATGCATAAAAGCTTGGCCCTTGCGGACTTTTCTTGGGAAAAAGAAGATATGTTAATGCGGAGGAAATTGCACAAATCATCAACTGTTGAGGTAAACCTTGCATAAAACATCGTACCATGCAGGTTTGTTGCAAAAAACACACCATCTATTAGTATAATCTGTTGCAGCTAGCTCTAATCCACTGTTTAATTCCGTTGACATGATTCGGTGGGTGAGTCCCGCTTGTAAGTGTACGTGTGGCAAAAAAAGGCCACACCGGTCAGCTTACTAAAGCGGCCAATATCACCCAAATCAGTGGTCAAAATTAACCAAAAATAATTAGATCAGTACTAGTTACATATATGACTTATTGGATTTCTTTGCGTTTTCTTGAAAACATGGAACTTTGAATAATTTCATTGTATGAACCAACTAAACTACCAAATCCTCTCAAACATGTGACCTCCTTAAGGTAAAAAAAATATTCTAATACCGGCATACGTATATAATTTACTATGTTTTTTTAGATTTTTGTATAACATTGAATTTTGATACAAAAATTTGAATGGTGGTCAGCTGATGTGGTCAGCGGAGGGAAACCCAACTACATGTGTGGAAACATAAACACCAAATTGATCCCTAGTCATGCCTCTGCAACTAGCTCATGTATTGATGATGATCTTGCTCTCCTGATCATGAGCATTGTTATAGTAACAAAGCTGTTATCAATAATGAGAACATATTGTTATCAAAACAATGGTGTTGGATAGACCTAACTTATGAATTACTAAGAGATCGTATTGTTATTATGTTGTCGGTATTTTCATATAAAGTGTTAACCTTTACTTAGTTCCTTAGACCATGAGAATATTGCAAGACAACATACCAAGTAGTTACTTTGGGGTTACCGAACGTCACTCTGTAACTGGGTGACGATAAAAGTATCTTACGGGTATACCGAAAACATATGTCTCAGTATCGATTGTTCAAGACTGAGATTTGCTCCTCTGGTGATGAAGAGATACTCTTTGGACCCACTCGGTGTTACGGTCATTATTGTCTGGCCAGACACATGATATGTACATCACAGGGATACCAAAATACGGATACGAGTAAAGAGAACAAAAACTGATCGCGAGGATAACATGTATAGTGATCAAAGAGTTGATCACGGGGATATATAACGATAATATCTAGCCTCGGGTTTTGTAACATATCGCGAAGCAAAGAGAATGGTATTCGGGAATTAAATGTTCACTTGAGATATTCGTGAAAGTTAACAATGGTGTCCAGATCTTGCTGTTAACTATTGACCGGGAAGTGTTCCTGGTCATGTCCACTTATTTTCAAACGTGTAGGGTCACACACTTAATGACTACTACCTCTGTAACTAAATACAGAATGTTTTTGTAGTTGAGGAAAATCGTCTTATATTTAGTTACAGAGGTAGTAGTAATTATAATAAACTAGAGGAATGGGAGAATGTGTGTCAAAAGTATTTCAAATGTATCCAGAAGTGTTCTAGATGGCCCCGAAAGGGTTTTAGGGAAGTTTTCGGAAGGTTCCAAAAGAGTCTAGAAAACTCTGGAACAATTTTTAGGAAAGAAGTCCCTCTTGGACCAACCCAAGAGGGCAGCATGTAGTTGGCCAAACAAGGCCAAAGTGGGGCGCCCCAAAAGAAGGAAAGGGAGGAGGTCAAATTCTCTTTGGGGGAAATTCTACTTGGGGATAACCCTAATTTGCCTCCTTCCTTTCCTCTTCATGGGGGGGGGGCCTTGGGACACACAAAATCCTAAGGGGTCTCTCTCATATAGGTATGCTCAACCACTGTCTAATTGGTCTATTGGGTTAGAATTCTAGTTAGACAGGCTCTACTTCCGGTCTAATAGAATTAGACTACTGATTAGATGGAATGCTGCTAGGCATGTCTCTCTAGTTTTCTCAGAACTCTTCTTCACGAATATCGCCGTGCTGTCAGATTAATTACTACTTCGGAACACGTGGCTACATAAGAGGCGTCATGTACTTCGACTCTTGATCGGCGAATCGTCTTTGAGAAATTCTCGCGGCTGGGAGGTATAACCCAGCTGTAGAAACTGTCGTGCTTCACCGACTAACTACACTCATTTAGGTACTCTACTCGTCTGTGAGACATCGTTACCCACCATCTTCATAGTGTTCCTAGGTGCAATCGTGTAGCATAATTTGTTTGTTTCATAACACGTTCCCCTACGCGGCACAGGGGGAGGCCAAAATTATCATGAGAAGTGGCGCTGATCGAGTATATTTTTGGGTCGGGAGGGGCGGCACTTAAAAATTTACTCCTCTAATGCCGATAAGTGATCAGCTAGGTGCGGTTTAGCCACTTGAAATGAAAAGTTTACTCGTCTAAAGCGTCTTAGGGGATCGACTAGAGATGCTCTAAGTTCCCAACTAAACATCCACTACACAGTTACACTGGTTCTAATGGAGATCCTCAAGGCCCAGTACCTGTTGCCGATTTTCATGCCCTTGTCCACACCCTTCTCCGCTCTCTCTGCTCTAGGCGATGTCATGTCCTTGTCCATTGGGCTTGCAAACTTGAGCTTGAAACATAATAGGTAAACCGGATTCTGTTTAGCCTTGTATATGTTTTGAGATTTTGCTTCTCAACATCTTTATTATTCAGTATAGGTTCCTACCAAATTAATAAGATTGATGTAACCCCAACAATTGTTGTTGTGGAGTTTGTGGTTTTTCATAAGAAGGTCTCCTTTTTTGTTTACCAACCATGTTAAACAAGAAAAATAGATACTACTCAACGGCCAATGTGTATTCCACGCAATTCATGGGAACTATGTGCTCTCTGATGGACCACGCAATTTGGAAGGCATGGGCACCGCCGAGAGTCAAATTTTCACCTGGTTGGCCATCCAAGGTAGGCTTTGGATCGCCAACCGATTTTTTAGGGACGAGGTTGGACAAATTGTTGTATTTTCCTAATTGCAAGAGAGAGCAAGAATCCGGGATGCACTTTCTCTTCAAGTGTCGTTCCACAATACGTCTTTGGAACTTGCCCAATGAGTGGCTACACCTTTAAAAAAACTGACACTTCCACTTGGAACCTTCAGTCCTCCATCAAAGATTGGTGGGTTAACCTCTCTGGAAAGAATGTCCTGGACCACAAGGCTTTGGCATCTCTCACGATGCTCATTAATTGGATCATTTAGAATGAAAGAAATGCCTGATTTTTTTGACATAAGAGCAAGCCGCCACCTATCTCGTTTAACGCCATCAAGGACGAGATCAAGCATTGGGCCACCCCAGAAGAGTAGTTTCTCCATGTAACATGGGTGCCTTGGTGAAGGAAATATGCCCTAGAGGAAATAATAAAGTTGTTATTTATATTTCCTTATATCATGATAAATGTTTATTACTCATGCTAGAATTGTATTAACCGGAAACTTAGTACATGTGTGAATTCATAGACAAACGGAGTGTCCCTAGTATGCCTCTACTTGACTAGCTCGTTAATCAAAGATGATTAAATTTCCTAACCATAGACATGTGTTGTCATTTGATGAACGGGATCACATCATTAGAGAATGATGTGATGGACATGACCCATCCATTAGCTTAGTATAAATGATCATTTAGTTTTATTGCTATTGCTTTCATCATGACTTATACATGTTCTCTGACTATGAGATTATGCAACTCCCGAATACCGGAGGAACACCTTCTGTGCTATCAAACGTCACAACGTAACTGGGGGATTATAAAGATGCTCTATATGTGTCTCCGATGGTGTTTGTTGAATTGGCATAGATCGAGATTAGGATTTGTCACTCCGTGTATCGGAGACGTATCTCTGGGCCCTCTCGGTAATGCTCATCACTATAAGCCTTGCAAGCAATGTGACTAATGAGTTAGTTGCGGGATGATGCATTACGGAACGAGTAAAGAGACTTGTCGGTGACGAGATTGAACTAGCTATGATGATACCGATGACTGAATCTCGGGCAAGTAACATACCGATGACAAAGGGAACAACGTATGTTGTTATGCGGTTTGACCGATAAAGATCTTCGTAGAATATGTAGGAGCCAATATGAGCATCCAGGTTCCGCTATTGGTTATTGACCGGAGATGTGTCTCGGTCATGTCTACGTAGTTCTCGAACCCATAGGGTCCGCACGCTTAACGTTCGATGACGATTTGTATTATGAGTTATGTGATTTGATGACCGAAGTTTCTTCGGAGTCCCGGATGAGATCACGGACCTGACGAGGAGTCTCGAAATGGTTGAGAGGTAAAGATTCATATATTGGAAGGCTATATTCGGACATCGGAAAGGTTCCGAGTGATTCGGGTATTTTTCGGAGAACCGGGGAGTTACGGGAATTCACTGGGGGAAGTATTGGGCCTTATTGGGCTTTAGTGGAAAGGAGAGAAGGGCCACAAGGGGAGACAGCGCGCCCCCCAGGGGCTGGTCGGAATTGGACTAGGAGGGGGTGGCGCCCCCCTCTT